AAGTTAAAAATGCCCCGCACAGGCTGCACAGCTGAAAGCCACAAGCGCAGGCAGTGGAACCGATCCAAAGACAGACCTGAGTGCTCATGGTGAATGACAATTCAGGTCACTGAATTCTGTTCCAAACTTTACCATGAAACAACGGCTCTGTGTTCTCTTCCTGAGTGTGGATGTTATGTAAATATTACTCTCTGGGAGGTTTCTGTGTTGTTCCTACTTAAGTATAGGAATGAAACCTAATCCCCTAAACTTGATCCATACTTATTGTCCATGCCCATTCATTTAACCCAAATACCCTCCAAATGACATATATAAATACACAAGCACACACATGTACAAATACAGACATCAGTGGAACAGTAGAGACATGTTCTCAGAAAGGCGCCTATCTGGGGAGCAACGATATACTTCACCACAGCACTGATAAAGCATTTCAAACTCAAATGAGCACACAATGAATTTCACACAGCATTCATTGTCTGAGATATTATCTCAGGCTAGATTTCATTTCAGTGTTCAAACTGAAAGCAGACACAGGAGCAAATAACCTGTGTAGAGGGCAATGCCTCTTCGTAGCCTAGCGTTTTAGCACATCATTCCATGGTGTGCATACAAGTACAGGCACTGCAAGTTCGATTGGCTCGTTGACTGCTGTTCTGTTACACTTTTCCTAAATAAGACGTCTTGACTTTTCAGAACATAAGCAACAATACAGCTTGTCCAAAGCTTGTACAACTGCTAGAATTATACCGGAACCAGCACAAAATGAAACATTGGAAATATGAATGTTTCCAGGGTCACTGGTGTTTGAAATTCATAGCCGTTTGTGTTTCGTTTGAATTTCATTGTTGGGCGGCAGCCAGCAGGTGAGTGTAGAGGGCTGAAGTGTGAAATGAAACACTGATTGATTGAGAGACCAGCAGACAGCTCGGGGAACAGGACAACTCTTCTCGAGCAGAGGTCACAGGAAGATGGGGATGCAGAAGGGTGAATGAGGGCTATGCAGGCGGGGTTAGGAAAGATCCTGGATTAGTGTGACATCCTGATCCTGGATCAGTTTGTATGGCACAAAATATGCCCTGATTATTCAGAGCACCAGAGCACTGCAAACCAAATGTCATTTAAACTACTTCAGATGTATTCATGGGGAAAACAGTGGCATCACTAGGACCTTTTTTAAACTGACCAGGTTCTGGTGATGGTTCCTGTCCTGTGCCAATTCTCAAACCGTTCTCTGCATTTCCACTGCAGAAAAGGCGGTTCCAAGTTATAAAAAAAATCAGTTCCACTTGTGCCCCAAAAGCTTGCTGGTCTGGAACCAGGAAATGGGGTGCAGAAATGTCTTGTTGAGAAATGTCAAATGTGATAAACTGTGCAAGAGAGAAAAATCGTGTCAAGAAAATTGAGAAAATCTCCCTCCAACACGTACAAAAGAGAGTACTGGTAGTTAATGCGTGTCTAGTTTCAATCTCTCTCGAGCACTGACAGAAGGGGGTACCGGTAGATACTGGCATTAGCAAAGATGGCAGATTTCCATGCATTTTTCAGAGAATCATGTGCCGGCCGAGCAACTGCCATTGAAATGTCATCAGAATGCCAACAGATAGCTTTCTTCAGGTACTATAGACCTCCTTTCCCTAAGCCAGGACCAACAAGAAAGGTAATCCAGGAACATGTTCGACTTGGCAAAACCACCTCAACAAAAGAGCGCCAAAAGGTGATTCTACACAGCAACATTTTGCCTCATTTTTAGAGACAGGAAGAAATGCAGAGAATTATTGCAGAGTTCCTCCAGAGTAGCAGTGGAGCATACAAACAAGGTGTTTCATTTCAGGTGTTCTCTTTGGCAGCTTGAACGACCCTGCTCTAGTCTGCCTTGAGGAGTTGAGTTCAAAGTGTGAAGCGTGCTGTGAGGTGGCACGAGCTAGACAATTCCCATTACCCACGTCTTGCTCCCTGTCCTGCCATCTCGAGCCGATGCTCCACGAATACAAATAACCAAGGCCGTGGCTAATCCCCTTCTGAATGAATGCGGACGTGATGGCCACTGTCTCACTGCTGCAAAGAGATAGAAAAGGGCCTTTGTTTGTATGTGTGGTTAAGCAGAAAAAGAAGAGATAAGTGAAAGAAAACACGACTGAAGGAAGGAGGGACACGGTTTTCTTCCATCCATCATGTTGATTACTCTCGCATTTGTCTGAGTGCCCGTCGCTCTGACGTCTCACATGTTGTGGCGGCGGCAGTGCTGTTCCCAACGCAATGGCATTGTAATAGCCCACAGCAAAGATGCAACAATTAACCTTTTTATTACATGCCTGTCAACCACAGCAGACGGTTCATGGTTTCAAAAAGAATAAAAAGTGGGCGTGCAATTGAATAAAGTCGACTTTTTATAAGCTCACCTGAAACAACACGGGCATTGTTTGTACTAGTATACAAATAAATCTGCTCTTTTTCAGGGCATCAAAATGCTACATTTTGTATCCCAGTTTGTACAAACACAAGAAAAATTTATTGTCTGTTATATACATCCAGTGCAATTCTGCAGACACATTTTACGTTTGTTTTTATAAGTGCACACTATGCAAGCATACAACAGTTGCTCCATAGGCATCCATTACCAGTACATGCATGTATACATTTGTGGAAGATGATGGTACTGCTGTATATTATTTATTGATGATCTTCCCCTCTTTGACTCCCAGAAAGCAAGGGTCGAGGGCAATACAGTGTAGCAGTACATACACAGAAATGTAATGGCTCAGTGTTTTCTCTTTCAAGCTCAGGAGACTTAATGGAATTCTCTATTTTTTTTTTAAATGTCAACTTTGTCACAGACATTTATCTTAAAATTTCTTAAGGTACAAAAAACAGAAACTCATCCTTATCTGGTATTGCAAAGAATGTACACATGGCAAATATTATCTATTTAGATGTGTAATACAAGTCCATGTGCTTATTGAAAAATTATATGATTCAATTTATCAATATGTTAGTAAGGCAAAGTTTAAAAAGTAATAATACAGAGTTATACAACGAATTTGGCTAGCAAAGCTCAGATCATTTGTACCTGAATTAATTTGCTGAGAAATGTTAACTTTATATTTATATAAATTTCTATACTATTTTTTAACTATGTGTTAAAATATTTGTAACAATACAATATTAACTTAATTTTCAAGGTAAAGTTGTCCCTCCTACAAAAACAATGTATTAAAGGGGTCATATGATGCGATTTCAAGTTTTCCTTTCTCTTTGGAGTGTTACAAGCTCTTGGTGCATAAAGAAGATCTGTAAAGTTGCAAAGACTAAAGTCTCAAATCCAAAGAGATATTCTTTATAAAAGTTAAGAGTCAGCCAC